GAGAGAGAGAGAGAGAGAGAGAGAGAGAGAGAGAGAGAGGTCGCCATCCTCTTCCTCTCCTTCTCCCGATCCAAACAAATTGACTCGACTGTATTCTGGTTTGGCTGTTGTTGTTCATGATCCTAATAGTTCGCGGTGATGTTCAAAAATGAAAAGTAAGAATCAACCAAGAACGAATTCAGGTGTAGCTCATGATCCTAATGGTTCATGGGGATGTTGAAAAGCGACAAAACGATCAACCAAAAAAGAGTTCGCGTCTATCAAGAAGGTGCAATAAGGTCACAAATTCCGCGCTGTGTTTTCAAGGATAGACTACATTCTGATTTCTTGGAGCCTCAGCTTAGATCCTGATTTTCAGGACACCTTGTTATGGCGGATTTGACTACAAACAGATACGACTGACCCTCACCTTGTTATGGCGGATTTGACTACAAACAGATACGACTGACACTCGTCCTTTTCCTGGACGGTGGGCCTGCCACTGCCTGGCAACAAGTTCTGTAAGCTGAACAACTCTCTATCATTTGGAGCATTGGAATTTCCTCTGATAAGACCATTTCAAAAACGCTGAAAATTCTGAAAATTCTGAAAATTCGCTGAATCCAAAATGCCATTCAAGTGCACTTTTGAAATGGTATTCACCAGTTAGCAGTAGCTGCTGCAGATCCCAGGGTTCGATCCCTAGACCCCAACCTTACCTGTGTACAGTACCCCGTAGAATTGAACCCGCAACCTGTGTATTTGTAATAGCTGATAGGTTGTCGTAGGGTCCATAGGTAGCATGGGTTCGATCTGTAGACTTGTCGGATAGGAGTCTTAGTTAGGTCTAGACATCGTAGCTGTAGTTTTCTTGAAAGGTCAAGGTCGTAGCTGCTACAGTCCAGAAGGGTCAGAATCGTAGCTGCTACAGTCACGAAAGGCCAAGTCTACGGTCTTCCGGAAGGTCCCAGTAGTGGCCTTTCGGAGTTGCCCACGTTTAAGCAGAGGCAAGTGGTCAAGTGGTGAGGCAAGTGGGCAAGTGGTAGAAGTCTACCCTGCTGAGTCAACAGTCCCAGTCCCCAGTCAGTCCAGCAAGTACCGCACGGGACTGTGTGCACTTCGGGCAAGGGAAATGGGCCAGACCAACGACCTGCAGAACTATAAATCAAGAGGCAGCGCCCAGCCATTCATTCATTCCTGCATGAGCCATGCGGAAGCGCTGCCACAGCGACTTGTGCAAGGAGGTCTGCAGTGAGCCCGGAGGACGCAGTGGGCGAGAGAGAGGGAGTTAGCATAGCGATAGGTTAGAGGCAGCCATAGCGGCCATAGCTGTAGTTAGTAGGAAGTGTGTGTGTGTGTGTTCGAGTGTTCAGAGTGACGTGTGTGGGATATCCAGGGTGATCCAGTGTGTGTACAGTGAGTTGATTGGGCGCTGAGTCGCCATAGCCAGTTGAAAGTGAATTCTTATTTGGGAGCCATTTCTCTGAGTATTGAGTGGGCTATTGTCACCAGTTTGCTGTGATGCTGTTTACATGCATGAAAAGTGTGAATAAGACGAGTCTGATTGCATTGGTATCAGAGCTGGTACCCGCTATTAGTCTGATTGCACTTTTGCCTTACTGTTTCACCTTGTTTTTATTTTCATTTTTTCGTTTTTTTTCTAATGGTTTGTTAATATGGTTGTGTACCAAATTTGGTCTCATTTGGAGCATTGGAATTTCCTCTGATAAGGCCATTTCCAAAAACGCTGAAAATTCAAAATTCGCCGAATCCAAAATGTCATTCAAGTGCACTTTTGCCTTACTGTTTCACCCTGTTTTTATTTTTTTTTTTCGTTTTTTTTTTTAATTATTGGTTTGTTAATAAGGTGTGCACTCTATGCAATGACGCAATTTTTGGTTAAAAAGGGCTTCTGGTTTTCTTATAAATATTCAAAAAACGCTGAAATTTTGGGTCTCCGTTAACCGCCTCTCATGAGTCCCGTGTTGACACATGTAGGGAAGTGGTAGCATGAGGGGACACCTGGAGCAGACAAGTTTGGAAAATAAGAGCAAGGGCAAAGGGTAGGGAAAGTAACGAGACTCTGTAATATAAAAGTCTTTTTGCAAAAAAAATCCGGGCAAAAATCGCAACAGCGGGATCTTAGAACTAAGAGGCAGGGATAGGAGACCTCAATCAAACCATGGCCCAGGGGGGATTTTAGGTGTAGCTGTAGAATTCCTTAGAACGGTGTACACAAGCAAGACACCAAAATAGGCCAACGTAGACTAAGTCATGCAAGGTAAAAGTTTCTCAAATTGAAGTAACTGAAGGCTAGACTAAGTGTGAAACCAGAAGCAGACACTTGGAAAAGAAGTTTACAGAGTTTTTTTTTTTTTCTTTCTGAAAACTTTAAGGTGACTGCCTTCATATATCACCTTTGAGCTGACCGGCCCCAGGTAAGTATAGAGTTACCTTTTTCAACCATCTCTTTTTTTTCCAATGGAATTCGAACTTAGGTCTGTATTTCAACAGCTTTAAGTTATGGGTGTACCAACTGAAAGAGGTCAGTTGGTGAAGTTTGCAAAGTTAGAAAATTTAATACTGGAAGGCAGTGAAAGGCTGAAAGCATTGATTTCTGTGAAACCTATGAAGGTCCTAGGGAAGGATAATGTAATTAAGGAATCTTGGGAGGACTATTGGGTAGTTGTGGGGAGCAATCTCCAGGAAGCCGTCAAACAAGGTACTTTTGGCAAGCACATAAGTATGGTGGGGGTAGTGTCGCTTTTGTCCAGGAAAGGAGACAGGTGAGATATTAAAAAATGTGAAACCTCTATAGCCTATTAGGCTTATCAGGTCTTAGCTGAGACCTGGTCAAATAAAGTTTGTAATGTAATGGGCATTCAACTGTCAAATGTTTCAACAGAATCCACACTGATCAGACTAGTTTTCTCTTAGGTAGGTACTTCTTGGACAATACAGTTAGTTACAAACTGAGTAGGGATGTCCTTCGGCTTCGGGACATCCATTAAAATTGGAACGGTACAGAGAAGATCAGCATGACCCCTGCGCAAGGATGACCAAAAGGAAGGAAAAGGAAAAAACGAAACAAAACAAAACAAAACTAAGTAGAGGCAATAGTAGGCTTTCTAGGGAAGGATCCATCAATAGAAAGTTGGTAGTGGAGAAGGACGCACACATGCTCGTTTCCTCACCGTAATGTTGTTTGCAGACGACCTGACAGTTCTGATGAGAGATCGATAGAGATATGAGTAGTGCAGAAGGCCCCACAGACACTCGTTTCCTCACAGTAATATTGATTGTAGATGGGTGCCGGCACCTCATTTACAAATTACAAGGGTCATGCAAGCCTTCTATCTAGCATCAGAGCTGAAGATAAACTGGAAAAACAGTAGCCTGATGCTGGTGGATTGCAAACACTCCCTCACCCTGAGTACCAGAGGAGGCTCAAGTTCTACAATGGTTGGACCCAAGGAAGCCCTTAAATTCCTGGCCATTTTGGTCACATTAAAGGGCCCGGAGTGAATGATACCGTAGTTTCTAATAACCTACTTGCTAGGGTTTGCACAAATTTGCAGGGTGGTGAAAGGTCTCTCAAATTGCATCTCTGATGGGAAAGGCGTTAGTTATCAATCCCTCCTCTTCTGAACGATTTGGTACTTAGCGTCAGCGTCAGTTTGGAACCGGTCCCGCCCAGATAAAGCAGAAAGGAATAATTGAGGAAAAGGCAGCAGCCTACCTGTGGACTGTAGATGCTGCGAGAGCACGCTTCATAACCGAAGTAGCCTTTTAGAAGTACATAGCCAGAAGGGGCTTTGAGTTCAGTGGATACATCAATTGAATATAAGATGCAAAAAAACCGTGCAACAAACAAAATGGTTGATTAGATTGCTGTTTAACAGTTTTAACTTAGATTCTGAATTGCCTTCCCATTATATGACACTACAAGTCTACTAGTAAGAAACTTACTGGTTCCTTTCTGAGGACATATAAATTTAATGTAGAGGGATATCTGATTCATTGGACAATGAACAACGTTCAATAAGCAATAAAAATAATCATTGGTCCCCAGGAGCATGAGTGAGGGGAAGACGGGAAACCCAAGAACTTCAAGCCAGAGAGTCCAGAGAGTCCAGAGAGTCCAGAGAGTCCAGAGAGTCCAGAGAGTCCAGAGACCCATTAAGCAAATATTCGGCAACACTGATCTTATCCTGGGCGGAAGCCCTCCCCAACAGGGTGGGAAGGGCCGAAGGCCAAAAAGGAAGGAGGTTGTCCGAAGCAACCTCTTTTTGGTCGCTCGTCACTCACTGATCAAGAGAAACAAACCGGAGTCACTGACTCGCAAGTCTTAGAGCGAGAGGTGGCACAAATTAAATGTGAATGGAGAAGGGAATTTGGGAAGTAGACCACCTGGATTGCTGTTTAACTTAAAATTACCTTGGCATGATATGGCTCTACAAGTCCACAAGTCAGAAACTTAGTCCCTTTCTGAGAAGATCGAAATGGAGAGGGATACTATTGGATAATGAATAAGCAATATTATTATATTAAGCATTGGTCCCCAAGAGCATGAGTGAGGGGAAGAAGGGAGACCCAAGAAGTCAGAGACCCGTTAAGTAAGCATTTGGCAGCCGCTGACCTTACCCTGGACCTGGAGGAAAGCATCCCTGACAGGGTGGGAAAGCCAAAAGGGAAGGAGGAGGCCTTTGAGCAACCTCTTTTGGGACGCTGGTCGCTCCCCGATGAAGAGAACAAGCCATCGCAACTGACTAGCAAGAGCGAAAGGTGGATGGAGAAGGGAATTATACAGCAAGTAGACCACCTATGGCCCTATGGGGCGATCGGAGGAGAATTCAAAGTGGAAATCTTGAAATGAGCGCAGAAGCCAACTAATAGGCTGTGACAAACTGGATATATTAGAGACATGAAAGACATTATAGGTAGCATTCTGTCAGCGTGGAACAGCCTGTTGAAGGGAGAGTCCAACTAGGAAGCCGGGATTGGCCAAGTTCAGTGTTCCGCAACCCTCAGATCCATTGGGCGTACATATGAGAAGTAGCTGTTGAATAGAGCGGAGTTTAAGGTCTTTAAGCCTATGAAGTAGTGTGAATATACTTAGTACCTGATAACTTGAAAACAGTAAGAAGAATTGTCCAGTCTAGAGTTTGACAACTCTAGAAGTTTTGCATAAACTCTAGAAGTTTACATAAACAGGGCCAGAAAAATCAGTGTTAGGAAAGGGACACTGGAAAAGCATCAGACAAGTAACATAAATCCAAACCAAACAATCAGGAGCAAAATTCAGCAAATATTATTCTAGAGACCAAACAGGTACATCAGGGTGACAGGGGCTTGGAATTGGACCCGGTGGAAGGGGGATCATGGTTTGTTTTGAAACGGATTCCACCTTTGCAGTAGCCGATGCAGATCCCAGGGGTCGATCCCTAGTCCTTACCCTGCCTGTGTACAGTATCTGTGTCGACCCCAGGAGTTGAACCCACGACCTGTGTCTTGCCCCACAGTTGGTAGGTTGTCGTAGGTCTGTACGTTATAGGGGTTCGATCTGTAGACCTGTCGGATAGGAGTCCTAGCGAGTTCTAGAAGTCGTAGCTGTAGCTCCTCCGAAGGGTCAAGGTCGTAGCTGCTACAGTACCGAAAGGCCAAGTCCACGGTCTTCCGGAAGGTCTGGAAGTGGCCTTTCGGGTACTGTCCACAGTAGACCGAGGCAAGTGGGCAAGTGGTGAAGTCCACCAGTGCTGAGTCAGCGGTACCCAGTCCCAGTCAGTCTCAGTCCAGTCAAGCAAGTACCGTGTGGGACTGTGTGCACCAGGGGCATGGGAAAGGGGCAGACCAACGAGCTACAGAAGTATAAATCAAGAGGCAGCGCCCAGCCATTCATTCAATTCCTGCGTAAGCCATGCGGAAGTGCTGCCACAGCGACTTGTGCGAGGTGGTCTGCAGTATGCCCGAAGACGAAGTGGGCGAGAAGGAGAGCTTAGCCATAGCGATAGGGGTAGCAGCGGCCATAGCCGCCATAGCTGATAGAAGAGTGTAGCGTGTGTGTGTGTGCGTGTGTGTACAGTGTGACGTGTGTGGGATATCCAGGGTGATCCTAAGTTGAGGGTGAGTGAACAGAAGAGCGGGACGCAGTGGCGAACAGGGAATTGTGCAGGCGCTGATGCGCCATAGCCATCTGTGAAACGGTTTTCACCTTTTGCAGTAGCAGATGCAGATCCCAGGGCTCGATCCCTTGACCTCACCCTACCCATGTACAGTATCTGTGTAGACCCCGAGAGTTGAACCTGTGACCTGTGTATTCGTAGACAGTTGGTAGGTCTGTCACAGGTCTAGAGGTAGCAGGGGTTCGATCTGTAGATCTTTAGAATAGAAGTCTTAGCGAGTTCCAGAAGTCTAGCTGTAGTCCTTCTAGAAGGTCGGCAAGTGGGCAAGTGGCGAGTCAAGTGGTGGACTAAACTGCAGTGCAATCGCAGTCCGACCTCGGTAGGATAGCACTGAGTCCACAGTCAGTCAGCGGTAAGGTCCAGTCAGTCCCAGTCCGGTCCAGCAAGTACCACGGGGGACTGTGAGCACCATGGGCCGATGGCAAAGGGCAGACCAACGAGTTTCCGAAGTATAAATCAAGAGGCAGCGCCCAGCCTTTCATTCATTCCTGCGTGAGCCATGCGGAAGCACTGCCACAGCGACTTGTGCAAGGAGGTCTGCAGTGAGCCCGGAGGAAGCAGTGGGCGAGAGGGAAGGAGCTTAGTATAGCGATAGGGTAGAGGCAGTCATAGCTGCCATAGCTGTAGTTAGTGTGAAGTGTGAGTGTTCAGAGTGACGCGTGTGGGATATCCAGGGTGATCCGGTGTATGTGAACAGTGAGTTGTTTGGGCGCTGAGTCGCCATAGCCAGTTGAAAGTGAACTCGTATCTGGATGCTATATCTCTGAGTTTTGAGTGGGCGCATGTCGCCAGTTTGCTGCACTACTGTTTACATGCATGAAAAGTGTGAGTGAGAACGAGTCTGATTGCATCTGAAGCAAACTTGTATCTGAACTGTGTTCTTGGTTTCCATATCTCTGAGTTTTGAGTGGGCGCTTGCCACCAGTTTGCTGCGCTACCTGTTTGCATGCTTGTGAAGTGTGAAAAGAAGCGAGTCTGATTGCAGTTTGACTAGGTCAGGGCAAAACGCTAGAAAGCTGATCTACTTACATGAGTGCACAGTTGAGATAGGTTGTAACTTACATAAGTTAAGAGATGCGTCGAGCACAGCCAGCAATAGCAAAAAGATGTGCAAGCCGGCTCCACATAGACCTGGAGTGGATGGGAGCGATCCCATGGGGGTATTATTGCACCATCAGTCTGGCCACTGAGAATAAGAAGACTGGAATGGCTAATCATCTACTGGACAGTCCGAGTGAAGAAATGGCTGGAGCCGCTGGACGGACACAAAAAGGAGGACCAGGTTCAGAGAGCAGAGGAATCACCGCTCTGCAAAATGTGCACCCACAGGGTTTCGGACTCCTTGGTGCATTCCTTACTTTGAGTGCGCAGATCCAAAAACGTGAGGGATAAAACGGGAAGGACTTGGTATGATCTAACCTCCTTATTCTTCTCTTTGAAAAACTTCTTCAAGTTGGGGTACTGGATGCTAAGAAGTGGAATACCACGAATTTAATTAGAAAATTGAACCGATTGGTGATATGGAGGGCAAGATGCAGAGAGGCAATAGGAAGGACGGAAAATACAGCTGAGGAACTATGGGAAGATGCCCGGGAAATCATGGCGACGGAGAAATATGGTAGGACGGATAGAAACTATTAGAAAGTAATTGTTTCACAGAATCAAGTCAGAACGCAGGTTTCAAAGAAGAATGGCTGTTGCAGGGAAGCATAGTGCAGATTAGGGGGAGGTCTTCAATTGTTAAAAATTTGTGCCAGGGGATCCAGAGAAGGACTGCGGAGGAACATGAATGTGAAGACTATGTAGAAGGCGAAAATTTGTGCCAGGGGATCCAGAGAAGGACTGCGGAGGAACATGAAGGTGAAGACTATGTAGAAGGCGAAACAATAAGAGCAACCCCCCCTACCCCCCCTCCCCCCCACGCCCACACACCAACAGCTCTCTGAGATTACGAAAAAAACACAGCCTAACATGGGTGAGAGAGCAATACAGAGGTGGGTAATTCAAGGAATCCCAGCAGTAGTAGACTATTATTAGTGGAACAGGAGGAACAGAGATGGAGCAGAGGTAAATCCTTCCTGCCTAGGAAGTAATCAATGGCGCTGTCTCAGGTTCTCTCAGTCAGAATGGAAGGAGCCGCTCAACTGTGGAGTGAGTAAATCTTGCAAGGGGCGCTGGGCCATGTTTCCAGAAAAATAATAAAATTTTTGAGTTGATATTTGAAAAAAAGAGAAAAAGAAAAAAAAAGACTGGGAATTGTATGGGATCGGAAGAGTGGGCGGCTTGATCACGACAAGGGAACGGGAAACAGGATGCAGCAGGCAGGGACTCCGGACTACAAATGGTTCAAGACCCACATCAGGCCACTTGAGCTGACAAGCCAAGACGATCCGGAGGTCTCAGAAAATTTATTTCAAGACGAGGGTTTAGGGTTTAGGATTTAGGGTTTGGACGATACTTTCGTAACGAGAGATAAGGAGGAATAGGAGGAGACGAGACATATGGATAAGGTAGAAGTACGAGTCTCAAGCGTAAGCTTGAGTAGGCGGTAAGCTCTTCCGCGATGTTATGGGTACACCTGGCAGATCTAGTGAATAGATCTGAGAGGAAAAAGTGAAGCAGGGCAAGCTGACAGTCAATCCTCCAGAAGACTGGAGTAATCAATGCTGTTCAGGGGTCCTTCGGCCAGACGGGAGGAAGAGTGTGATTTCATGATTGTAATGTTTTATTTTGACTTGCCAGTGGAATAGGAACCGGACTGTTGCTCCCCAGAATGGAAAGGAGCCAGCACCATAAGGCCCTGTTCTTGTCAAAAAAGCAAAAAAAAAAAAAAAAAAAAAAAAAAAAAAAAAAAAAAAAAAAAGGACTGGGAATTGTAATGCCTTGTCGTTGGCCAAGTTCGACTTCTGGTTAAAAAACAAACAAACGGAAAAAATGTCAAGCTGATGAGAGACAGAAGACTGACCAGCTAAATCAGCCACGGCATTAGGAAAGACGTAGGAAATCCACCCATATGAGCACAGTCTTCCACGCATGTCAAAAGCCAAGAATACGACCAACATGAAGCACCGAACTCATCTGCACTGATTCTGCAGAGCAACAAAAGATACAAAAAATACAAATCATAGCTCTTTAAACCTGTGAGAGCAGCAGCAATCTTATCCCACCAAAACAAAAATCATAGGTCTTTAAAGTTTAAAGTTAAACTTTAAACCTTGCGAGCAGCAGCACTCTCATCCCACCAGCACGTTCCTCCGTCTGGCACGCATTCCCCTACGCTTTTCAACTACCCCGTGAGCAGACTCATCAGGAGGATTCTCGATTCGAGTATGGGAATGCACTTGATATATTATTCCCCAATAATATGTCGAGAGTCATAAATCGGGAGAAAAAAGAATAAAAAAGGTTTTCTTTGTGTTCTTGTGTGGTTTTGTCTTTCTCGACTAGTTTTTGCTCATGGTCCTTGTGGTTCCTGGCGATGCTGAAATATGAAGGAAGTAATTTTATAAAATTTCCCTCCTTTTTAATACCCTCCATGCTCTGACTCATTAAACTGTGAAACCTTGTATTTTGTGATCTTTCCAGTTCCCTCTTTTCTCCTGCCGATGGCAAAAGGTAAAACACTGTAAAACTGCCTTGGGAAAAAAAAGAAAAAAGAAAAAGGAAAAGAAAGCTGGTCTGAACATGGGGAAAAAAAGAAGGAAACGACACTGTGAAAGCTGGGCTGAAATATGTGGATTGCTGTGTTGGTTGCAGATTAAGCTAAAGCAAGTTGCAGAGCAGCCTGCCAATTTTGGGAATTCCTTACCTCGTGAGAGAAGAGAAGCTAGGTATGTCTCGAGATAAACAAACTCCGTTCTTGCCTTTTGGGTTCTCTCTTTTTTTCTGAATTAAACTTACACTTTGATTTGTAAGGAAAACAATACTTTGCCTCCGACCGCACCCCCAAACTCACAGCCTTTCTTCCAGTCATGCACACCTGCCACAGAAGAAAATATGCAACCCTCAGTCGTAGGGAATACACACCTCCTGAACTACAGGCAAGCTGAGGCAACCGACAATTTGGTATATTGACCTAGGCTGGGCCGTTGCCCGGACATGGCGGCCAGGCATGCCCGGGCCAGCTGGGCCGGAGAGGGGGGGGGGG